CTTGGGTTCTTAATGGAACATAAGGCTTCAGTATCACCTCTCCAGTGCACTCTGTTCTCTGCAAACTTTTCAACCTGGCTCCATGCAGCCCAGAAGCTCTCATTTCCTCCTCGCACTACCTCCTCCATGTCACCCTCAGCAGCTGGGACGCCCAACTCGTCGCTTCCATGTGGGTTCCACTCGAGGGTCTGGCGCGTGATGTCCCCGAATGGTCTTCTCAGTGCATGCCCAATCCATCTAAACTTCCTTCCACAACATATTTGTTGAGTGATAGGTTCTTGCTTCGTTGGTTCGTTTCCAGCTAGCCAGAGTTCCTTATTGCCTATTCTTATTATTCTGGCCATCTGATCTTCAGCAACGAGCCGCAGTAGGCAGTTCTTGATGAATGTCTGTAGTTTGTTGGAAATCCTTTTTGTAACGCGCCAAGACTCTGAGCCATACACTGAGCGCTGAACATTCAAGACTTCACAGCCATCATCTAATGACTAACTCAAGTACATAATTCAATCCTGAATGCGGTGTTCCTGGCGGTCTTAAGAGTTCATTGGTACACTCTTTGACCTCACCATAGAGTTTATGCATGTTCAAATTTCAAAGGGATTACAATTCCTTTCAAGATTTCAAGTCTGCCTTATTTATTGAGTACCAATGGGGAAAGCAGCAGAAGCAGATGGGATTCCTCCAGAAGCACTGAAAACAGACACAGCCATCAGCAGACATGCTTACACCACTATTGCTGAAGGAAAGAAAGATACTTGCTGATTGGAAGAGGGGCTAGCAAAAGCTTTGCAAGAACTGGCGCGGAATCATGCTGCTATCCAGCCTAAACAAAATATTAAACCACTTCATCCTGGAGAGACTATAAACTGCCGTAGATTCAAAGGTACGACCGGAATAGACTGGCTGCCTCGCTTCATGAAGAACAAATAGTGTGCAGATTAAATTGCAACGCTACTCTATGCATCATCATAGAACAGACCATAGAACGGCAGTCAACTCAACTCTACCTCAACTTCATCGATTTTGAAAAGGCCTTCGACAGCGTCGACCAAGAAGTAATTTGGCAACTGCTTCAACAATATGGTTTTAGTACCAAAAACCTTTATCAGCCAGATTCAACAGCTATGTGCTATTTGAGGTTGCTAGATGCCAAGAGAATCACAGTGTAAAGCTCAGTAATGCCTTTGAAGTGAATTCAGGGGAGAGGAGTAAGACAATTTCGCCACCTACTATCATCGATCATCTTCCTGATTGTGGTCAACTCAACTGGACTCGATTGTATCATGCAACGAAGTGTGAAGAGGGAGAAGATGTGCGTACGCAGACTAGATCGATCAAAAGACCCTTGAAGATTTGAATTTCACCCGTGATGATTTACGTCGAATGTTACACAAACTCGAAGATCTACAGGCGAAAACCAACACGTCGTCAGAAGTGGAGAGGCAGCAAAGATGAGACTTTCTTCGGGTGAACGTAGAGAAGACAGAGGTGATGAAGCTATCTAATTAACAACAACATCAACGACAAGCACTAATCACCATCAACGGGAGAAATGTAAACGAACTTGTCTCTTTCATCTACCTACCTACCTAGGCAGCATCCTTTCAACTACAGGTGGCACAGGCACAGATGACGATGTCAAAGCAGCCAGGATCGGAAAGACAGTAAGACACACCTTCCTGCATTAATCTGAAATCAATCAGTGTGGAGATCTACTACACCGCACTCCACTGCACGCAGCGTAATGCGTGAACAACATCCGGATTTTCAACACTAATTTAGTCAAGTTAATCAGTGCTTCTATATGATGGTTGAGAGACTTGACGCGTTACGGAAGGCATTTCCAGCAAACTACAGACATATATCGCGTGTACAGCTGCCGCATATGCTCACTCGATACTGAAGATGGGGATCAGATGGCCAGAATAATAAGAATAAGCAAGGAGGAACTCTAACTGGCTGGCTGGCAACAAAGCAAGAAGCTATCGCCCAACAAATCTACAGAAAAAAGTCGAGATGGTTTGGACTGGGCTTAGACTGAGAAAACGGTTTGGGGACATCCCGCATCAGGCCAAGCCGTCGAGTGGAACTCAAAGGGGAAATGAAGAGTTGAGCGTCCCTGGTGAGGGTGACATGAAGGAGATGATGTGAGGAAGAAATGGTAGATTGTGGGCAGTTGTGGAGCCAGGTTGAAAAGACTGCAGAGAACAGGGTGAAATGGCGACGTGCTACTGAAGCTCCATGTTGCACTAGGACTTCAACGGAAAAATAATAATAATAGTCCTAATTCTCTCTCCTTCTTTGTGATGATAAGGATATTAAAATACTCCATATGTCTTGAATAAGTACAGAACCATTTCTATTACTGTATGTATTTGGTGTTGATTCGATAAACAAAGATTCTGTCGGTTATCTCTCCTTTTCTCCACCAAGTTAGTTTTTAGTGCTATCTCTCTATCCCAACCTACCGTGTGATTGTGTATAATTGTGTGAGCAGCTATAGCCGACCTTCTTTCCAAATTTCTTTTCTTATTAGAATCTACTAATCTTGATTTAGTTACGTTTTTGTGCTCTGTTAGGAGTAGTAGTAGTAGTAGTAATACTGGTGTCGTGAATAATAATGGTACTTCTAACAGTAATAATTGTGACAAGGTTGAGAGAGAATCCAAAGCCTCTGCTGTGTTACCGTACAAAGAAGGCACCTCAGAAGCATTACGAAGAATTCTCAATACGTCTGTCTGGGATTGAAGTGACTGGCAGTTAAACCAACAAACTCGCTTAGAAGCAAGCTTTGCAGGTTAAAAAGATCCTATTGACTCAATTAAGCAAAAGAATCTGGCTTACCAAATCGCTTACAATAATTGCGAGGTCAAATATATAGATGAAAGTAGTCGACTAGCCGGAGTCGATTACAATGACGCAGCACAAAAACCTAACTAAATGAAGATTAGTAGATCCTAATAAGATAAGAAATCTAGAGAAAAGCTGGATTAGAGCTCTGCACTCAATTACACACAATCACACTGTAGGGTGGGATAGAGCGATAGTGTTAAAAACCAGTTTAGTTGGGTGGAGGGAGAGAGAAAGTGATAACCGACTGAATCTTTGTTTATCGAATCAACACGAAATACATGCGGCAACAGAAATAATTCTTCACCTGTCCTAGATATATGGAGAATTCTACTACCCTTATTATCACAGAGAAGGACACAAAATTGGGGACTATAAAAACTCTTTCTTCACATGGTGGAGTTACCTAGTATGAATATGAACAATAAATTGTGTCCGAAATGTGATTTAGTAAATGATACTGTTTCTTCACTGTGTGTGTGACATTCCCAATAGACAGACTAAAATGGAATTACAATCCACCACAGTGCCCAATTTTCACTCCCATATTTGACCTCGCAATCATTGCAAGAGATTTGATAAACCGAAATAATTTGTTGAATTGTATCAATAGGTTAGTTAATGTGCTACTGTAATCCTAGACAGCCTTATTTAGAATTCTTCATTGTGCTTCTAAGGTGTCTTTTTTGTATTCTCTCTCAACACTGTGCTGTGTTGTTAAACAGGAAAGGCACTTCAGAAGCGTTACGAAGAATTCTCAACAAGGGAGGCGGTTGGCATTTAAACCAACAAACTGGCTTAGAAACAAACTTCACATGTTAGATGATACCATTGATCCAATTAGATAGGATAATTTAGTTTATCAAATACCTTACAACAATTACCAGGTTCAATGCATAGCTCAAAGCAGTCGACCAGGTTCAGTTAGGCTATCCGAGCGGGAAAAACTTAGGTCAAATTAGGTAGATCCCATTAAAGTAAAGAAAAAACTTGGTCATAGCTCTGCACGCAATTCCACACAATCACACAGTAAGGTGGGATAGGGCGTCAGTGTTAAAAACTAAGTTAGTTGGGTGGATGGAGAGAGAGATTGATAACCGAGTGAATCTTTGTTTATCGAATCAAAAGTCAAGTACACACAGTAATGGAAATGATTCTCCACCTGTTCTAGATATATGGAGAATTCTACTACCCTTATCATCACAGAGAAGGGGGAGAGAATTAGGTCTATATGAATTGTGTCTCAAAGTTATGGAGTTAGTAGACTGATATGAATATGGACTATAAATTATATTTGAAATGTAATCCAGTCAATGATACTGTTTCTTCATTATGTCTGACATTTCTAATAAATAGACTAAAATGGAGGCCTGCCCTACTTAGATTTCATGGCTGCTAACATTCATCAATAAGGTGTCACTACAACCTCAGTAGAACTGATGTCCTGCCTGAGATTCGAATGTAGATCATCACCACAGCTATCCAGTAATCAATACTTTTGTATGTAATATTTTCTCGAAGCCTTTACTTGCTAAGCAGTTACTAGTGAGTTGAAATCAAAATGTGTAGATATACTTTCATTATTATTATTATTATTATTACTATTTTTCCTTGGGTTCATAGTGGAACATACACCTTCAATAGCACGCCTCCATGCCACTCTCTTCTCTCCAGTCTTTTGAACCTGGCTCTACGACTGCCCACAAGCTTTCATTTCTTCCTCATATGATCTCCTCCATGTCATCCTGAGTTGGGACGCCCAACTTGTCGTTGCCCATTTGCATTCCACTTGACGATCTGTCCTGGCGTGTGATGTCCCCGATTGGCCTTTCCAGTGTATGCCCAATCCATCTCCACTTCATTCTTCTACATATTTGTTGGGTGATAGGTTCTTAGTTGGTTCGTCACCCGGTCAAACTTCCTTGTTGTTTATTATTTCTGGTCATCTGATCTTCATTATCGAGCGTAGGCAGCTAGTTTTCCGGGGTAAGATTGCTAGCCTTATGCCCAACCTTTCCTCTTTATCCGGGCTTAAGACCATCTGGTAATTAATGAACTAGTTAACCAGGCGAGGTTAGATACACTTTCATGGTCATATTGTTATTATCTGCTACCTGCCTTTCTCTTTTCTTTCTTCTTTTGTCTCATAGCACTGAAACGTACAATCGAAGTACAAGAGACTAAAGATGCTGCATCAGCTGATCTACGTATTCGTAAAACTCAGGTAAGCTTAAATTATGCCTATTCTGAAGTATACAGTACAAATGATAGTGCCTTATATATTATCACTATTAATTGAATTGGAATAAAGTTAACCGTGTTATCATACGATTAAATTATTAAGGTTTTATACTACACACTCAAATTCCTTTATGTATTGAACTCAAGTACAATTTTCATCATGTATAACTGGGTATAGACCTGACTTAGTGACCTAGACGCTTGACTTTTATTCAATAAGTCATGAGTTCGAGTTCCATTCCAACTACTCGATAGTAGTATTATTAGCTTTCATATCATTGATGTAGTACATCAACGTGTAAATGATTATTACTATTTATTGACATACTTGTTATTCTCTGTTGTTTGTTTTGTTGTATCGAATTGTTCTACCTCTATTGGCATATGAACTGCTATGCGGATACCTTGATATTGCCTGAATGTTATGATAAATTGGTTGGCTAGCAATATCGAGGTATCCGCATAGGAGCCCATTTGCCAATAGAGGTCGAACAATTCGATCCAACAAAACAAACAACAGAGAATAACAAATATGTCAATAAATAGTAATGACTACTACCCGTTGTACAAGAAGTGGCTATCATTCCTCCGTAGCATAGGGGAGCGATGGGTATGAGGTTCGAGTCCCAGTGGGAACAACATCACTCACTGGGGTGCAGCTACATATAGCTGACGAGTCGCAATAGGACGAAACGCGCGTCCTGAATTCTTCTGCTAGCCACAACCAACCAGTTTATGTGTAAATGATTGCTTAAAGAGTTTAATTTAGTTGAATAGGAAGACCTTGGTAACTCACTGTCTAGCAATGTGTATATATGTATGATGGTGTTTTTAGTTGCATTATTTAACAGGCTGTAAGATAGACATATTAGATGAGGCTTTCCAAGCTGTTTTTTTTTTTGAAAATTATCCAAGTGAGTCAGTAAAGACTAGTAGTGTCCGACTGGGATGTCCACTGTCCTTGTTCCTATTCAACTTCGTCATAGGCGTACTAATGGACATAACCTTAAGTACATCTAACTTTACAGAGATTGATCTACTCCTTGGAGGCCATCTAGTTGACTTGAATATGCAGACTATATCAACATGCAGTATCTACTTAATGCCTTAAGAAAAAATCTGGGTATGTTTGTCATGTGTTTCCCTAGCACTTTTCAAATGTAGGATGAAGCTCCTCGATTGGTGCGCAATGACTTCAAGCCTAATGAAGTGGTGGAATGTGTCAACACTTCAGCCCGAACAGGTTGGTTGCTGGCGATATCTCATCTGGGATACGGAAGTCTAGTTTAGCATTTGCCAAGTTTCGTCACCTCTGGCGTCAGTAAGATATCTGTTAGTCTACTAAGATGCCTTGGACATATATTGCGCATGTCTAACTGTTAGCTATCTCGATGTGGCATGTTAGGGAAAATTGGATTAGGATGGAAAAAACGGTTCAAGGTGGTCAAATCAAGACCTGGAACCAGTGCATAAAGTCCCTGACTGTTGGTCAGAGCCATGCGTGGAGGTGTAGACTGTCTGGACGAGAGAAATGAGCTTTTTTGAAGACTCTTGGTGACATCACAAAGAATCGGTGATGCCATATTAATCAGCGTAAGAATTACTGATAATATAGTGGAGGTGATACATCCTCGATAAAATTAGACATTGGAGTGCACTCAGCAACCTTGTTCACAATTGAAAGGTTCATCAATTGAAGCCCTCGGTCAGATAACAACCCACTCTAAACGTATAATCCTTTTCATCGTCCATCCATCCAAATCAACATGAGAACATACACTACTCCGTAACGGTTCAACTTGCCACAACTCATATACTACATCAAGCAATAAAATGAAACATGAAGATAAAAAATTCAGTCAAAAGAAATATGAAGTACGAGAAGAAAGAAAGGAAGAATGACAAAATGATGAGATTCGATAAGCATCGTTAAGATGACGATAATGTGTGTGGGGATACATCTGCTCCACTGATCCACATATCAACTACAATCAGTCTCCAATCATTGGTTCCTCTTCTCTCAAGAACCCCAACCACACAGTCTGCATCGCCCAACATGGCTCAAACCAACAGTCAAACACTTCATGCATTGGTGCCATGTTTTGTCTCACCACCTCCAGCCTTTTTCCAGTCTCAACCTACTTCGACCAACATTGTGTGACGAGGCAGACGGTGACTAGGCATTCGTAACACGTGTTCCACATAGCCATCTCAGTCGATCAAGATGCATAACCTCATCAATTAACTTACTTCTTCTCTTCTCCCTAAAATTCTACACCTGACTTCTATGGCCTTTATTCATTATTGCTACAAAATGTACCCGCAAATTCAGTAGTTGCAAGTGAACTGCTTAAACTTGTATGCCACAAATGCACCAAACTATACGATGTTTACTTAATACATAGAAAAATAAAATGACTAATTTATTTTTATTTGAATGATAAATATCCTAAAACGTGGGCATCCAGAGATGCATCATTACACACCAGTAGTTAACAACATGAGGAGAGAAAAAAAAGAGGAATATAAGTGAGAAAAGGCAACGAAAAGATAACCAACAGTTGTTTGAAAAAGGTACTGGAATGTCATTCGTAAACTGTATTTGAGCCATCAAACCTGTTGTCAGGAGTGACAACCTCCATCACAATCAATCACCACCCACTACTGTCTTTCAGAACAGTTCGTAGGATTCCCTGTTTGACTTAGATTTCATACTTATTGGCATTCGTCAGTAAAGCATATCTACAACCTTGAGAAAATTGATATCCTCTGAGAGATTTGAACATGTGTCATGCAGTGTTGAGGTATTTCGGACTGTGACTGACCTTCTGTAAGAGTGAGTTGGAGTAGATGTAGTTAGTGGTTGGTGGATACTGGAGAGAGTAAGTGATCTCATGTTGTGGAGTCGTGAGTGCTTACCGAATCGTATTGACGAAGTTTTATGTTTTACAATGTGGTGAAGACTAAGCAAATATGAGATTGATTGCTCTCCGGTGTTGAACCAGATAATCCCTGATGTTTGTTTCTAATGAGGAATCTCACAAACATGTACATCGTCCCACATTGTCACACTTCACAGTAGTACACAAAGAACAGGTGGATAAAAAAGAAAAGCTGATATCAAAGTAGACGAATTCATGTGAGAGAATAAACAATCTGAAGGTGAAGGTTAATGAAAGTATTCAAACTTTGGATATGAGGAAATCATTACATCTGTCTTACCGATACCAGCGGTTACTCACAGTAACAATCAATTCCTATATTTTTCTGTGTTCAGTTTGTCGATGAAGTAGGATCAGCCCCAGTGACTGACTCAGTGGTTGATGAAAGTCCTGGCTGGCTTTCGCCAACTTACGCCACCTATGGCTCTGACGTGATATTCAATTGTCTATCAAGAGTCATGTGTACGGTAGTGCAGTCCGCTGCGTTCTACCAAATGGCTGTGAGACAAGGCCATTGAAGACATAAGAAGGCTGACTTCAGGTGTTTGAACACCACTGTTGTCTTTGTAGTATATGTCATGTTCCGTGGTGTCACCATGTGAGTAACGCAGATGTCAGGTGTTGAATTTTAGGGAGGTTATGAATCTTGATCAACGGAGATGGCTGTGTGGAACACGTGTTACGAATGCCTAGTCACCGTCTGCCTCGTCACACAATGTTAGCCGAAGTAGGTTGAGACTGGAAAAAGGCTGGAGGTGGTGAGAACAAAACATGGCACCAATCCATGAAGTGTTTGACTGTTGGTTTGAGTCTTGTTGGGCGATGCAGACTGTGAGGTTGGGGTCCTTGGGAGAAGAGGAACTAGTGATTGAAGACTGATTGTAGGTGATATGTGTGAGAGTTGATATCAGTGGAGTAGATGTATCCTCACACACATTATCGTCATCTTAACGATGCTATATCGAATCTCACCATTTTGTCATTCTTCCTTTCTTTCTTCTCGTACTTCATATTTCTTTTGACTGAATGTTTTTATCTTCATGTTTTATTTTATTGCTTTTTTACTTGATGTAGTGATATGAGTTGTGGCAAGTTGAACCGTTACGGAGTAGTGTATGGTCTCATGTTGATTTTAAATGGATAGACGGGTTCGTAGGTTTAAACCTGGCCCCATTTATCAGGTTTGTATATCTAGATAGTTGTGTGATTAGCAATCGCACATAAGGTGTAACTCATTATATACTATATAAAAGTACTTAAGGTTTTTCTAGAGGATTTCGGTTTTCGGTTAAAACCATCCTATTTTCCTACATTACTATCTTAAAATTTTTATTCTCTCTGTTTCCTTTTGCTTTTTTCTCTCATGTTCTTGAATTATCTACTGTATTGTGAATGTGTTTTTCCTGATGAAGAATAGCTGATTCATATAATAATAATAATGATAATAATAATAATAATAATAATAATAATAATAATGTGGGAATTCTTGAATAACAAGCTTCAGATATTCACCTTTATTCGTCCTGAGCTAAGTAGTTTAACCCAGAGATGTGCTTCAGTAGAATATAAGAAAAGAGATAAAAATTGATTAAGTAAGATTCCATTTGAGATGAAAACAATATGTCTGTTGAGCTGTTTATTAATCCGTTTAAACCATAGCACCATTGAATATATGTGTGTTGAAAAGATGTGTCTTACACTGTTGTTGTTTATCACCAAATAAGTTAGTTGATCATGAAGTACATTCAGCAATCTTACCAGTCTTCAAGAAAAGCTACAACTCCTCTTGTTATAACCAAAGAGGTATCAGCCTGACAAACATAGTGTCTAAGATTCTGGATTCTGTAACCATTAGACACCGGAGTAGAGATCGGGAACAACAAGCCTGAGAAAACCAGGCAGGATTTAGATCCGGTCGCGTGTGTATTGACCAAATATTCACACTGCGCCAGGTTTTGGAACACAGGCACGCTTACCAACACCCGACAATAGCTGTATTTCTCGACCTGAAAGGGGTATTCGACTTCGTTGATCGAGAAGT